TAAAGTATGGCCATTGCGTATTATTGTCAGTCTATTCAAATACAAGATCGTAAAATAGACAATCATGCAGCTACAAACGATCTGTACTCATTGAGTTCAGAGAATGGTCAGATAACTGTGACTTTTCTGCCTCCATAAACCAAAATGTCTTTATTGTTTGTTGCTGTTTGAATTTCTGAATCAAAAAGCAGACAGTAAATGGATTGGAATATCCAAGTGTATTTTTTTAAAGTATGGCCATTGCGTATTATTGTCAGTCTATTCAAATACAAGATCGTAAAATAGACAATCATGCAGCTACAAACGATCTGTACTCATTGATTTCAGAGAATGGTCAGATAACTGTGACTTTTCTGCCTCCATAAACCCTCTGCCCCACATTTTAATATTTGATTGTGAAATCATTCAGTTTGGATGTGTGGCTAATATGTAAATATTAATAGAATAAATTTACCTTTCTGACTGCCATTGGTTGTTAAATTACACAATTTTAAATAGAATAGTTAATTTAATAAATTACACGAATGACATGTAAATTAACGACACTTACAAAATATCAAAATTACCTTTGATATCATTCTTACTCATATTTATATAAGTACATATGCTATGACACGTAAATGAGAAAATGTTCCTTTTTATTCTCTATAATAACTCTTTAGCTGATGTGCTTATATCTACTGATGCTACAACTGAAGAGTAAATGCACACTGTTGTTAATAATGGAGCATCTTCCTCTGTGTTGTAAAAGCTGTACGTTATGGGTATTCATTTTTTTTTGTGTGAATTTATACCCACAAAGGGGCGACCTATCCTGAAAAATAAGAGTCAAGTTTTGGAAAAAATAAATAAAATAATATAAATAATAATAAAATCATGAAATTGTATTATTTAAGTCACCGTAAGATGGAAAATAGCAATAAATGATTTTACTGATGTTTCTTTATGGTCTTGCCCTTGTTAGGGTTAAATACCTGATAGATATATATATATATATATAGGCAGAAAAATACTGTGACCATGCTCATTTGTTTTGAGTGTGTTTGTTTTGACACGTATTTTTGTCTCATATTGTTAGAAATAATAATAAAGTATAGAGTAGTTTCAAATGCTGTTTCTAAACAATGAAATAAAGTGTTAATACAGTACTGCACATTTTAGAGTGGTGTGGGATTACAAATTTAAGAATCGGTTTAAAATATGATGATCCTATGTTCTGACATAGCATCACATGAAAAACTAAGGTGAAGTACATTGTATTTAGCATTTAAGGTAAATTACATCAGACAAATGATTATCTTAAAGTGTAGCAAGAGGTTCCTGTCTGTTCCGGTTTTCTCTTACTGTTAGTCAAATTAACCAAATTACTGAGAAAGTCACCTTTTGTTTGTAATGGCTCTTGGTGCCTCTGCCCCAGTCTTTGAGTAGTTATGCTGATTGGATTAGGACTGTCAGACTGATTGGATTATGACCTATTCATTTGAATGGAACTGTTATGCTGATGAGATCAAGGCTGGGAAAAGGCCGGTGTCGGGCTGATTCCTGTACTTCATTTGCATGCTTTGTTTAAGGGCATCACCCAGGTGCTTTGTCTCCATTTCTAAGCACTGCTCCTTAAAATGTATATAAACTACAATGTATTACTGCCTTAGTCAGACTTGGATGACTGCAGCGACGCACAGCGAGTCCTCAATAAAGAGTGACTTCTGTATGAAAGATATCCCAACGTCTCCTGGTTTCTGCTTCGACGAGGAAAAAGTTTCCTACAGTTTTGGTGCCGTGACCCGGATAGAGCTCCTCACCTGAATCCAGATTGAGACTTCAAGCTCAACAAAGATCTGACTTCATTCCAGACTGCATCTTTCTGTACAACCAAGGGTTGGTGAGTGTCACTCTATCCAAAAAGGAACTTTAAGACCAGTACAAATTTGTTATTCTCTGTGCCGTTAGAGAAGAGTTAACAGACAGCTGTAGGGTTTGGTTAACTAAGTTATCCTCTAAAAAAATTATTTTAGAGATGAAGGTTATCCTCTGTTACGGCAGGGAAGAATTGGTTATCCTCTGTTCAAGCAGGGAAGATTAACATTACGTGTTAATATTTGTTACCCTCTGTTTCGGCAGAGAAGAATTGTTTACCCTCTGTTTAAACAGGGAAGTTTAGCGTAAAGTGCTAGTAAAGTTGTTATCCTCTGCCTTGCCAAGGCAGGTTAACAATAGCTGATGTGTTAACAAGCGTACCCTCTGTTGATCAGAGAAGTTTTAGTGTTTTGATTGTGTGGTAACAAAGAAACTCACAAAATGTTTAGAAAATACTAGACTGATCCCCACAGCTGAAAAAGGTGGTCTCGCGACTCCTTTGTGGTCAGATAGCGAATTCAAATCACTGTTAGGAGTGCAAATGAACCTAATAGTCACTGAGAAAGTTAGACAAGAACTAACTCAGAAATTTGAGATTCATCCAGACAAGGCTTGGTCTGTAGATGAGTGTAAAAAGGTACTAGGAGTATGTATACGCAAGAACAATGTGAAAGCCATTATCTGCTGCCACAGAGAATTTGGTTTAGCGCTAGCTACACAACAGTCTCAGCGTAACTTAAAGCTAGAGGAACAGAACAAAGAGCTCCGTGCTAGAGTATCCTCTGTGACTAAGAAATTGAACCGCAACAAAGCTGCAGCAAAAACTGATGTGGAAGAAGTTAGTCAGCCTGATAACAATTATCCTGACTTACAAACTTTCTTTGAAACAGATGTAGCCATCCGATCAGTAACTGATGTGCCTGTAGATTCAGTGAAGGTATGTGGCGCTACGAGAAGGGAATTGAGGGAATTGAAAGTGTTCCTCCCAACTCTTCTGTTGTCCAAGTACAAGCTGTTGCCAAAGCACTAGGCCCTAGAGATATAGAGAGACTCTCCCAGAGCTTACCCTCAGCACGCACACATTTTTCTGAACTTAGAAGAGCATTGATCAGCAAAATGCATCTCTATGACATGTCGTTAGCAGAAGTCACACAGCTGATGTCACAAATTCTAACTGAATCTGAATTCAACAGTTTTGAGTCTGCTGTTACTTCTGAACTACAACATGCCAGTAAAGGCGATTTGAGAGAAGGTGTTTTGAAAATTCTAAAGAATATCATGGGACCCAAAATAGACTGGTCCAGAATCACTAATTGTGTGCAAAGGAAAGAAGAAACTGTGAGTGAATACACTGAAAGGTTTTGTCAGTCAGCTGCAGCATACAGTGGAATAGCTGACACTCCAGAGAAGGTACTGGATCATAAAGGACCACTAGTTCGAGCATGGTTTGATGGCCTTTTATCAGAGTACAGATCTGCTTTGCCATTCTTAGATCTAACCTGGTCCACTGGAAGTTTGCAAAACAACTTGGACAGGTTAGCTACATGGGAAAGAGACTCTGATGTTAAAGCCAGAGTAAAGATTGCAGCAGTATCCTCTGCTGTTGTTTTTCCTACTGGTGTACTATCTATGCGTCCACAGTATCAAGTGTTTAATTCAACAACTGACCCATGCCCATCATGGGGAAATTACAGTTCCAACCAGAAAAGATTACTACCCGTAAGAACTAAACGGACCCTAGCTGCATGTTTGTTTCTGTGTCAACATGCTGTTCGTCACTACAGACAATCAACACAGAGCAAGTGCTATGTGCCTGTAACGATCACAGGTTACAAGAATGAACTTTTAAGTGTCTAAATTTGTATTTTGTGAGAGTTATTAGAACTCTCAAAGGGGGAATTGTGGGATTACAAATTTAAGAATCTGTCTAAAATATGCTGATCCTATGTTCTGACATAGCATCACATGAAAAACTAAGGTGAAGTACATTGTCTGATGTCATTTACCTTAAATGCTAAATACAAATGATTATCTTAAGCAAAGTGGAGCAAGAGGTTCCTGTCTGTTCCTGTTCTCTTATTGTTGGTCTCAGTAATCTGGTTCATTTGACTATCACCTTTTGTTTGTAATGGCTCTTGGTGCCTCTGCCCCAGTCTTTGAGTAGTTATGCTGATTGGATTAGGACTGTCAGACTGATTGGATTATGACCTATGCATTTGAATGGAACTGTTATGCTGATGAGATCAAGGCTGGGAAAAGGCCGGTGTCGGGCTGATTCCTGTACTTCATTTGCATGCTTTGTATAAGGGCATCACCCAGGTGCTTTGTCTCCATTTCTAAGCACTGCCCCTTAAAATTTATATAAACTACCATGTATTACTGCCTTAGTCAGACTTGGATGACTGCAGCGACGCACAGCGAGTCCTCAATAAAGAGTGACTTCTGTATGAAAGATATCCCAACGTCTCCTGGTTTCTGCTTCGACGAGGAAAAAGTTTCCTACAGTGGCCTTTTATTGTGGCCAGCCTAATGCACACCTGTGCAATAATCATGCGGTCTAATCAGCATCTTTCAAATGCTGTTTCTAAACAATTAAATAAAGTGAAATCTCTGCTGATGATCATGAAAAACTTTTCAGAAGTGCTGATTTCATGTTAATAGTTCCTCTTTTCACCTTCATTCATGACTCTGATGTCTTCAGATCAGCTGTAAACGGCCACTTAAAGCTCATTACATTGCTGTAAACAGACTGAAACCAACTACAGTTCAACTAATTGAAGTGTTTTTGTTGCTTTCACATCTGTACAGTTACTTCTGAATCAGTTTATTCTTATGTTTTATTCATATACAAATAAAATAAATAAAATATAAAAATATGTGTATTCATCTATGTGTTTGTTAGTTTGTTCTTATGATAAGAAGAGGTTAAGGTTTATATTATATCGACTCACAAATAAAATCAAAAACTCATAGAATGTGAACTTTTACTTTAATCTATCAATCTCTGAAAATGTGAACACAAAACATTGAATGCTTAAAATGTGTGAAATAATGAAAACATATTAACTGATTATTTTGGATTTTAGCAGATCTGCAATTCCTGCCACACAGCTTGAAGCTCCTCCCACAACAACGCACCTTCACTGAAGCTCCTCCCACAACAACTCACCTTCACTGAAGCTCCTCCCACAACAGCAGATCCCCAATAAATGCTGGGATATTCCCATCAGCCTAGAAGTGCAGCAGAGCTGAACACTGAGAACATGAGCGATCCAGAATCCTGCAGAATGGAACACGAAGAGACTGAAGAACAAAGAGGTTGGTGTTTATTTTTGAATCCTCATTAATGATTAATGAACATTAAAGTCATTATATTTGTAGTATGAAAAGTCATATGGGTTGTGAGAAGTTATTTCATATTTAGTTAAAATATCAAGTAATACACAGGACACTTTCTATAAACTGGGTACAAACTGGAGTCTAAAACTGAAATGTTCTTTTCTGTCTTTTTTTTTATTTTCAACAAATGGTCAATGAAAGCAGGTGTGAGAAAAATCCAGATTTCCTGAATTTGATTTACATCTATATATGTTTTTTAAAATTTCATAAATTAAGTAAAATCTCATTTATATTTACTTGTAATGAACTTAAGTTTATTTTACGTTATAGAAGTCAGTCGTGGTTATTTTTACCCTTTTGGTAAAAGGGTTGATGAATGCAGTCAGAACTACTCCGGGGTGTGTGTTCACTACTTACTGCTGCAGTGGTTCCCAATCCTGGTCCTGGAGAACCCCCAACACTGCACGTTTTTGGTGTCTCTCTTATCTGACGCTCACATTTGAGGTCTTGGAGTCTTCACTAATGAGCTGATGAGTTGAATCAGGTGTGTTTAAATAGGGAGACATCTAAAATGTGCAGTGTTGGGGGTTCTCCAGGACCAGGATTGGGAACCACTGTACTGCCATGTGTGTTCACTTGGATGGGTTATATCAGTGTTTCCCAACACTGTTCCTGGAGGCACACCAACAGCGCACATTTTGTTGTCTCCTGAAGTCTCTACTGACGAGCTGACGAGTTGATTCAGCTGTGTTTGATTAGGAAAGGTTGGAAAATGTGTTGGTGTGCCTCCAGGAACAGTGTTGGGAAACTTTCACTTTCACTAGTTTGTGTAAAAGCTGAGATTGGATTGAGATTCAGTGGGTCAGTGCTAATGATAAAATGGTTCATTTAAATTGTTTTCATTAATTTTAAAATATGGATTTGTGCCTGTATTGTTTTACAAATAACAACTGATCAATGTGCATAAGTCGTGAAAAGTTCCAGGGACATATAATTGTTTATTAAAATGTAGTCAAAATCCACTGTACTATTGTATTGCAATTGTCTGTGTTCTGGTGTTACATTCGAGTTCACTTTTTCATTTCCCTATAATTTTAAATGGATGATATACAGAAAATAAAATCCCCCATGAGTGGTTTGGAGAATAGATGGATAAAAATGAAAGTTTTTTTCTTATTTTAGGCTTGATGGAACAGATCGAGGAGAGTGAAGAACTGAGTGAAGGAGAGGAGAAAAATCATCATATCAAAACTAGAGAAAAGACATTTAGAGCAGCCAAAAATTATTGCCCTCAGACCGGAAAGAGATTCCCAAACACAAAAAGTCTTAAACTTCACACGAGGGTTCATGGTGGAGAGAAGATGCACACGTGTCATCAGTGCGGGAAGAGTTTCACGTTCATTTAAATTGTTTTCATTAATTTTAAAATATGGATTTGTGCCTGTATCGTTTTACAAATAACAACTGATCAATGTGCATAAGTCGTGAAAAGTTCCAGGGACATATACTTGTTCATTCAAATGTAGTCAAAATCCACTGTACTATTGTATTGCAATTGTCTGTGTTCTGGTGTTACATTCGAGTTCACTTTCATTTTAAATGGATGATATACAGAAAATAAAATCCCCCATGAGTGGTTTGGAGAATAGATGGATAAAAATTAAAGTTTTTTTCTTATTTTAGGCTTGATGGAACAGATCGAGGAGAGTGAAGAACTGAGTGAAGGAGAGGAGAAAAATCATCATGTCAAAACTGGAGAAAAGACATTTAGAGCAGCCAAAAATTATTGCCCTCAGACCGGAAAGAGATTCCCAAACACAAAAAGTCTTAAACTTCACACGAGGGTTCATGGTGGAGAGAAGATGCACACGTGTCATCAGTGCGGGAAGAGTTTCACACGAAAAGACAACCTGAAGATACACGAGAAGCTCCACACTGGAGAGAAACCGTACTCATGTGATCAGTGTGGGACCAGTTTTACACGAAAAGAACACCTTAAGAAACACATGACAATCCACACTGGAGAGAAATCACACTCATGTGATCAATGTGGGACCAGTTTTACACAAAAAGAACACCTTAAGAAACACATGACAATCCACACTGGAGAGAAATCACACTCATGTGATCAATGTGGGACCAGTTTTACACAAAAAGAACACCTTAAGAAACACATGACAATCCACACTGGAGAGAAATCACACTCATGTGATCAATGTGGGAAGAGTTTCACACGAAAAGACAACCTGAAGATACACATGACAATCCACAGCGGAGAGAAACCGCACACATGTGATCAGTGTGGGAACAGTTTTGCACAAAAAGGAGCCCTTAATGTTCACATGAAGATCCACACGGGAGAGAAGCCACACGCATGTTCTTTGTGTGGAAAGAGTTTTAGTGTGCGGAGTGGCTTAAAATTACACCAGAAAAGACACCGTGGTGTGAAGGATCACATGTGCTTTGATTGTGGGAAGACCTTTTTTACTGCCGGTGACCTGAGAAAGCACCAGACAGTTCACACTGGAGGCAAGCCTTACAAGTGTTCACACTGTGACCAGAGATTTGATTGGCCAGGATATCTGAAAATACACGAGAAGCTCCACACGGGAGAAAAGCCGCACATGTGTGATCAGTGCGGGAAGAGTTTCACACGAAAAGACCACCTGAAGATTCACATGAAAACACACACTGGAGAGAAGCCGTACTCCTGTGATCAATGTGGGAAGAGTTTTATAAAAAAAGACCACCTTAAGGGACACATGAAAATCCACAATAGAGACAAGCCACATGCTTCACACTCTTAAGTTACATCTGCATTCTCACTGCGGACAACATCCATTTAACTGATCAATGCCGTAAAAGAACGAGCATTATACCTGAAGAAACGTGGGGAAGTTTGTACAAAGGACAAGCCTCACCATTGTTTTATGGCTGGGTGTTGTGGGAAAACAGATGTAAGAATGAGTTTAAGATTCACTGATCTTGTGTCTTGATTTAACGTCACATGAAAACATGGTCCTTCAACATGATGAAGTTTAGTGATTAGATTCAATAGTTTCCAGCGAGAGTCAAACTATGTGTGAACGTTTAAATGCCTCTAGCTCTCTTGTTTAAACCAGTCGGGGTGCTATTATCTTTAGGGACTAGGTTTGCTAGAGCAATTTTTTGTATTGTCTTTCGATGCTTTGTTTAAGGAGTCACTGCTGAGGCTGTGTGTAAGTTTAACTGCCTATAAAATACAGTGCATCACAGCCTTAGTTGGACTTCATGACTGTCACACCAAAATGGCACATTTTCAATAAAGAATCCTGCTGAAGATATGCCTGGATCTCCTGGTCTTTGCTTCTGTGTGTCCTATTACATACCCTGTAGATTAAACCATGAGTGCAGACCCCTGATTAAATGATCTGCTTATGTAAGCATAATAATAAAAGAAAACGCTTTAAGGTAAATAGTGTAATATTTATATTGTTAATGCCGCTGCCACCACCTTTAACTCTTTAAGCCAGTGTGGTCTGGCACCAGAAGACAACACGCCACCACGACTTCAATCACAACAGGTAATTTTATTAAGAGAGGGGATTGCAGGACAGGCTAAACACAACCTAGAAAGCCCTAGGACAGTGTGCTACATACATTCACTCACTTCATTGGTGACAATCCATAAGATCAAATACAAACAGTGACAACTCACGTAAGTACGTTTTCTTTTATCATTTGCCACTGATGATTCAAACACGAGCTTTGGGCAGTGTGGAGTAGCACTTTGTTATTTCTCCGATCACAAATGCAGATAGGGTTTTATGTTTACGTGGCACGATGCAACACAATGCGTAAAAAGACACAAAAAGTACAAGTCATTATAATCAGTAATTATGTCCCCACTGGATGCAACAAATGCCTCGTTTGTAATGGGTTTTAATGTTCTTCAATTTCAAGCTGTCGTCCCAGCCATTTACTTCAGCTGCCATTTCAAATTGTCCTATCCAATCTGACCACTCACAATTAGCTCCTGTAAAAGTCTCTGGCATAAAAACAGGTTGTGCTGTCGCCATCCTAGATGCTAAGCCTTGTCCCGTAAGTACCACCGTCCTATTTCGGCTTGTAAATCGACCGTCAGCCAGCCTAAATCCATTCTATTTTGCACTCTTTTTAAACCTTCTCACCAAGGAAATACAACTTAGTGCTGTGGATCGCCGGCACATTTTATGGAGGACTGTTTACTGATCCTGGGAGAGTAACGTTAGACTAAAAGGCAGTTCTGACTCACGTAAGTACGTTTTCTTTTATCATTTGCCTGATGATTTTCAAACCACGCTTGAGGTATTCAGCCAATCACAACGCACTGGATAGCTACGTTTCAAAAAGGCGAGGCATAGAGGAGAAACAATAATGTACAGTATGTGGAAAATAATGTTTTTTTTTGCTTTAAACCGCATAAACACATTTCATTACACCAAATACACAAACTAATGTTCTTTTTAGTAGCATCAAATGACCCCTTTAAATCTGGTGGAGTCTGGTTATTTGTTAATCGAGCCATTATGCTAAATAAAAACCTTGGACTGTTTTGGTTATTTTCTATGAGTTTGTGGATATGCTCGGCCCTGGCAGCTTTTAGATCATGTCTATAGCTGGACATACTGTTTTTCCACGCAATTCTAAAAACTTCCAAGTAAGTTTTTCTCCATTTGCGCTCAAGACTACGAGTTTCTTTCTTGAGAGAATGGGTATTACTGTTGTACCATGGCGCAGAAAGTTTTTCTCTTAACCTTTTTCAATTTGATGGGGCAACAGCTTCTAATGTATTAGAGAAGATCGTGCCCATGTTGCTAGTCATTTCGTCTAGTTCATGTGTACTTATGGGTACAGCCAGGTTTCAGTCAAGCAGAGTACATCAAAACTATTATTTGTGATCATTTCATTTACAATAACTGCTTTGGGTGCGAGTCATCTAATGTTTAGGAGCCCAAACTTAAAAATTTGTTTTAGTTCATTTATTTTGCATTTTTCTGGTTTAATCATGATCAGATTTTTTTTTTGATCCTGCATAAAATATATATTTTGACCTCACTATTCGGGGAACAGACACAGTCTTTATAGATTGGACAGCACAAGTACTTCTATCATTTAAGCGGGTGCAGACCGTCAGAGAGAAAAAACCTAGGACGCTCCCAGAAAAGATTCCAATTATTTACAAAAAGCAGTTTCTGTTCTTTACACCATGACAATAACCATTCATTTAAAGCACAAGTCTACAGAACCTTTCGTGTCCTCGTCGATACATGGGAAGTGGTCCTGACACGATGATCGTCGTCGCGGGCGATGTGCTGCGCACCGTCTCGATCAGGCTCCTAAAGTCCCTCTTCAGTGTCTCCGTCTGCCGCAGCTTGGTGTCATTAACCCCAGTGTGCAGCACGACCGCTCCAGGGCTCTCGTCGCCCTTCAGGACCGTGGATATCTGCGCAGAAACATCGAGAACACGAGCACCAGGGAAACAGTGACTGTGCACTAGGGTTGGGCGATGTCTACAAAATTTGCAACAGACGATGTCTACAGTGAAACATCGCGATCGGGGTGCCCAAAGTGTGAATCCGTATTCAGATGCCGGCTCAACATCGTGATGTCTATGGCATCATCTATCAGCCCAACCCTAGTGTGCACATTACCTTCAGCTAACGTAGCACGGACGTGCCGGACAATGGAGTCTCCAACGATCACAATATTGCGTTCCGCCTCGTGGAGGGGAGCGAAGCGGTTCCAGGTGGAGATCTCGAAAAGAGGTGGCGGAGGGGGAGAGGGCATCGCCCGGGGCCTGGCTCGCATCTTCTGCTGCTGGTGCACCCAGGGTCCGTGGTATCTCTAGCAGCGTCAAACGCAGAGGATATTTCGGGCTCTTCTATCAACCCCCCGCCCCTCTGCCGTCTACAGATCCCAGCGATGCCAAAACAGGGATGGACATTGAATTATTCCGTGTCCTCTCTAAGGCGGTTGAAGAGCTGGGCTTGGAGTGGACTGTGTCGGAGGAGCCCACTCGTAGTCATCTGGATAAACGTGCTGTCAGGCCCCTCGTCAGCAAGCTCACAAAATCCTTCAAACGTCTGATTCATCGCCCTCACCTCCGTCGACGGCACTGAAGAAATGGGCTATGAGAAGCTGCCTCCTCTAGATGAGTCAGTGGCCGCGCGCCCACTGCCATTGGATGGAAAGTAAGTAAAGGTCGATCATCCCTCCAAGCTGTGCAGGATGACGTCTGCCCTCGCTGGACAAGCTTACTCCTCAGCCAGGCAGGCGGCCTTGGCACAGAATTCCATGGTCGTGCTCCAGGTCTTTCAGGCTAAGCTTCTCCATTCCATGGATGACTCCGGACCTGACTGCGGCTTTCAAGGAGCTGAATAAATGCTGCGACAGACCTGGCCCTGCGAGCCACAAAAACCACAGCACAGGTGATCGGCAGGTCAATGGCCAGTTTAGTGGTGCTGGAGCACCAATTGTGGCTAAACCTGACCGAGATCAAGGAGCTGACAAGGTTCCCTTTCTTAGACTCTCCGGTCTCCCCCTCTGGGCTGTTTGGACCCGCCGTGGAGGGTTTTGCAGAGCGTTTCACCACCGTGCAGAAGTCATCCATGGCAATGCAAAACTTCTTGCCAAAGCACTCCAGCTTTGCCTTCAGCTCCAGGCCTTCACCGACCAAGCAGCCAGCAAAACCTGCCCCATCGCCTGCTCAGCCTGCTCAGAAGCCTGAGCCCTGACAGCGCTCGCGCTCAGCCAGATGCTATCCATTCCTGAAGCACCCGGGGCCCCCGGCCCAAGCTGATGCTGGATTCTGCGCCTCAGGCGTCGTCCTGATCCAAGGGACAGGAAGAGGAGGGGGCAAAGTCCGGCAAACGCTGAACAACCCCCCAAGAAGTCTCTTTTGTGCCTCCAAGCATCCCGTTTGGTTCCGTGTGTCGGCAGCAACATGTCTGTCAAGTGTGCTGTTGTGAACACTGGGCCTGTTCAAAAAGCGCCCAATCAACAAAGCACAAGTCGCTGTTATAGCGAGAAAAATAAAATACAAACATTTTCAAAAAGAGGGTAAATTTCCTCTTCCACTTATCACGAGTGCCAAGTCCCCTCACAGCGACCCACCACCCGAACCAATCCAACCCCTCACCACATGGGCCAAGGCCAGAGGTGGGTAAGGTATCCAAAATCTTTACTCAAATAAAAGTACAAGTACTTATGGAAATATTTACTCAAGTAAGAGTAAAAGTAACAATCTTAATAGTTACTTGAGTATCCGATGAAAAAACTACCCAAGTAGCTAGTTACTAGTTACTTCTGATCTGGGGTGCGTTTCCCAAAAGCATTGTTAGCCAACTATGGTTGCAAGTTCCGTCGTTACCAGCATAGTTCAACGATTCTGTGTTTTCCGAAACCATAGTTCAAACGAACATTCGTATACTGCATCGCACACCTGCGTGGTTGGAACTACAGCTCTCGACCTGTGGTTAGCTCATAGTTCCTTGTTAGTGTTCTGTATCGACATCATTGATTTCGGCGCTGCTGGAGTGTGCTCTATTCACATTTAACGACCCTATGCCCTATTCATTTCTAAAATTTCTCTAGCCACTTTGAGTGATTTGGAAGACGATGTTGTGGTGCTCATATATCATGTTATTAATTTTTAGGTTATTTTCATTACAAATTCACTTTGAAACGATATAATAGCGTGACCATAGCAATTATTCTCCCTTCGAAGTGCCCTACGAAAACATTATTCATGCCAGTTGGAACGCAGCTTTGGTTTCGTTTGTGTGAAGAAAAGGTCAGTTTGCAAGTGAGTATCTTTGTTACAAATATTTTTATGAGAAATTTGTCTTTGGGAATGTTTTAACATAGTATGTTAGAGGTTTTCACTTGTAGTGAATGTTATCTGTACTGTTCACGTATTCAACATGTACAGTGCATAGTGTTAAGAAAGTGTCGCTAAGAAAGTGTCAAATGCATACATTAACATAGGGTAGACCTATTTAAAATATGACTCTATATATATATTCAATGAATGTACCCAAATAAATGAACAACAATGCTATAAATAAGTAAGTGGTTTTGTGTTGTGTTCACAGAAGTAGAATATGGAATATTTTCGTAGGCTTTATAAAAAACAAATATAGCCTACTTCTTGTTTGCAAAAGTATTTCAATTTAGTCTGCGGGGGAAACCATTTAGGCAAATAAACAAAATATTTATTAACACAAGTTATGTCATTCATTTTTACAGTTTGGATACTGTATTTTTTTGTTTAAAAATAACTAACCAAACACTTTCTGAATTAACAGTTGTCTGGCTTCTGCTCCTGCAGGATGCATTCTGCCTTGATGTGTGTTTAAAGGATCATCATCATCAGAAGTGCCATCTTCCTCACCATCAGCACCAGCAAGACCCCCCCTCTTTCTCATCAAGAAGCTGGACATTTTCCTTGACCGCAAAGTTGTGGAGAATTGCAGTTACTACAATTACAGAGCAGCTTTTGGAGGGGTTCAGCTTCAGGCCACCACTGGACTTGCTGATACAGCGAAACCGTTGCTTCCACAGTCCTATAGCCTTCTCCACTGTAGAGCGTGTCCTTCCATGGGCCTGATTAAACCTTTCCTCTGCAATAGTGGCTGGATGCTGCACATGTGTTATGAGGTATGGGCGAAGAGGATAGCCAGTGTCTCCCAGCAGCCAGCTATCCCCAAAGCCACCCTCTTCAGCCACCTGGCAAATTGCAGAATTGGCCCATACAAAAGAGTCATGTGTGCTCCCAGGCCATTTTGCAACAATGTCAGTAAACATCCCCTGGTGTTTGCACACTATTTGAACATTTGCAGGAAAGGCTATCCAGCTATTAATGTATAATGGCTCATTTACAACAGGGCTAGCCACTGGAATAAGTGTGCCATCAATGATGCCAATCCCTCTGGGGATGCTGGCAATACTGTCGATTGGCCTGCTGGATTTCTTCTGGTGTGTTGGGGAAAATCAGGATGTTCTTCATAAGCTGTAACAGCAAAGGTGTTACTGCTGTCACAGTTTTGCTGACCGAAGACTTGCTGAGACCTAGGCCATCACCCACCACCTCCATAAAACTTCCAACAGCATAAAAACACAGTGTAGCTAACAACTGCACCGCTGGACTTAAGGCATAGTTTATTCTTGTGGCCCTCTGAAGGTGTGGTTTCACAATCTGAAGTAATTCAAGGATCTTGTTCCTTGGAAGCTGGAATTTTCTCAAGATGGCATCATCAGATGGCATCAAGGGGGGTAAAATGTGTCCTTATGTAGGCATGTACTGTATATACGCTGCCTGACTTGTAAAGCTGCCATTGTTGAGCAATTGAAACACATTTGCATGCTGTTTATATTAGGAGCGTTCTTAGTACACCTGCTGTTGATGCATCAGAGAGATGATAGAAACACCGTAGCTAATAAATCAATCTAAATTAACAAATCATGGATGGGTCACTTTTTTAGGTAGTTATAGTAATTTGGTACAGCATTATCCTATTAATGTATTAATGACATTTTAGTTTTTTTGTTTGTCATACTGTTTTTCCATAATTGTCATGCCATTCTTAAAAATGATCTGAGTACTTAAAAGAGAGTTTTGGGCCATGTTTGGCTTATATTGTCATTGAAGTTGTCTATGTAAGGATTTCTCAATTCACAACATTATATCAGTTATGGTTTTAGTGTATCTGATGGTGGCCACTGTCAAATAAAAGTGAATTCCATTCCATACATATGCTTCATAATTAGGCTTAGTCACATTATTTAGCTATTTAATAAGGGATGACAAGGCATGGTAAAAATGTTTTATCTTCAATTAGCAATTGCCCACATTTTTTTATTTTAACTGGCATTAATATACTACTTCAATGCTTTGAAAAGCACTTACGGTACATATACAAAAGAGCATTTACATATTACAAAAGAGTATGTTTGGACATAAAATAGTATATTTTATTTTGTATTTCAAATGAACTGCTGAAGGCTTTGAACTGCTTTATCACTGAAAACCCACACCAGAGCACAGCTTCACCAGAACCCCATTTGCCAGACTCAGTCTGTTTCCACCTCCCACGACAAGGACGAAGGGTTGGATTTTGGGAGGCATGGTGGCAAACAATGTAGCCAAAAAATAAAATAAAAAATAAAAACAGATGAAGAGGGTTACATCTGTGAAAAGAAAATACAGTTTCAAAAAGTTACAAAGCTGTCAGCCACACATGGTTTGACTTTACATACTGACTAATGAATAATGTCATTTCCACTTATTGTCGGTTGGTAAAAACATGGATAAAGAGGGCTTGCTGGCCTGTTGTTGTAATAGTTCTAATTTAGCCCTCTTATAGACCATTACCTCCTGATGACGTCTGTCTTGCTGCTCCCTCTGGGCTGTCAATTCTTTCCTGGAGTTCAGTTATTTTCTTCTTCTCAGACTGAAGCAGCTTTTCACTGCAGCCACAACGTCCCGTTTCTCCTTTGTCGGGAGATTAATGGCTGGTGATCTGGACTATCAGGAGGACGTTGCTCAGCACCCGAGGAGGCCTCAGACTGAGGCGAGTCAGGGGAAGGGAGCAATAGTCCAGAACCAGGTCTTATTGCTGAAATTGAAGGGCCAGATTGGAGGAGGCCAGATGTTGAAGGGCCAGACTGGAGGAGGCCTGATGCTGAAGGACCAGACTGGAGGAGGCCTGATATTGGAGGAGGCCAGATGTTGAAGGGCCAGACTGGAGGAGGCCTGATGTTGAAGGACCAGATTGGAGGAGGCCTGATGTTGAAGGGCCAGACTGGAGGAGGCCTGATGCTGAAGGGCCAGACTGGAGGAGGCCCGATGTTAAAGGGCTCAACTTTGAAGGCAAAGGCCTGGATCCTACTGGATTCCAATGCCTCAGGACCCAGGATGGCCAAAACTTTCTCTTCCTCTGCATTCAGAGGAGGAACTGAATTGATACCCACCAGTCTTTTTTGCTTCCCTTCTACGTGCAGCAGCCCTCCGTTTGGTCACACTTGCAAAGTCCCTCCACTTATTCCTCACTTCTTCTGGGCTTTGCTCATACCCATTGCCAGAAGCATTTATTTTTTTGTGTGATTTCTGTCCACATTT